TACACCTAGACTAATACCGTGGGTTTGACCATAAACTTTCTAAATAAAAATTAAAATAACGACTGCTTTTCTTCTCTTAGGTCACTTTTTAGTCACTATTTTTACAATTATAAGTCACTATTTGGTCACTTATTTCTTCAACATGATCACTAAAATCACTATTTTTGACAGCAGTGATTGCTACCAGCCCTGCAGAGGGCCAACATGAGAAACCTCCATTCTGAGCTGTTGCTTGACCTGGGCCCAGGTCAAATTCCTATTGGCTTGCTTGATTTCCTTGTTGGGGTTTTGTTGCCATAAGCCCATGTGCCATTGCTGTGACGTTCTGATGAATTTGATTCACATGCACATTATTTTTATTTTTATATTGTTTTTCGGCTGCCAGTACGATTCACCAAAGCTGACTGTCTCACAAAATTTCACTAAGCCAAGCTCACGGGAAGCTCTGGCCGAAAGCAAAGGTCGATGGTCGACGTCCACAACCTGCAGAACCAGACGATACTTCCGTCCCGATCGTCGGCATTGCACCTTTACTTGACCCAGCACATTGATGGGGTTTCCACCAAAGCTTTGTAAGCGGAATGATGACGGTTGTAGTGCTGTATTTAGATTACCAGTTAGCTCAATCAGGCTGGCGTATTTGGCATGTTTGGCGTGTTTGCACCGGTATCAACATCACAGAGTACTTCCACTTTTTTTTCCAAATTTCAGTTCTAGTTCTGCGACAACGTTGCCTCCATTGTCGGAGTAATCAAAAATTTTCCCGATTTCGTAATGCTCCTCACTTTCTTCCGATGTAGTATCCGTTCCTGAAGACGATTCCTCTTGTGAAGTACTCTCTTCCTTCACCTCCTTGATCCGGCGATTCGGTTTCCGGTTCTTTGATTTCTCTCCAGCTCGACACACCTTTTCGAAGTGTCTTTTTCCTTTGCAACGATGACAAGAGGCAAGAGTCAAGGCACACACCTTTAACAAACTCGTGGCTGTCCCCGCAGAACTTGCAGCGTTGTGCTTTCAATGACTTCGAACGATTCTTCATTTTCTTTACTTTGTTGACTGCCGTTCCGGGTCCCAGAACACCTAGCTCCTGCGAGCGCCTGGCTGTTATCTCCTCCGCACGACACAAATCGACAGCCTTCATCAACGTGATATCAGCAATCGTCAACATCTTGGTTCTCAGATGCTGCCACTTGTTAGACGTTACCACCTTGTACGTAATCAGGTCCGTCTCCAACGTTCCTAGCTTGGCCGACTTAGCCATGACCTTGAGTCGTGTAACAAAATCGTCGATTTGCCTTCTCCTCCGTGGTGAGTTCAAAATTGAAATATTTCTTCCTCGCTGGTTCACCTACCACAGTCAACAGGAAACTGACTTTTTGAGCATCCTCCTCTCGAGACCAACGGTCCATTCCGATGGCTTTAAAGTAATCGTTCCAGCTCTTTTCAAAGAACTCGAAATTTTCTTCCATATCCCAAACCAAGGCCAATGGTTTGGGTTGCGGCACCTGCACACTGGCAGCGCACGGTTGCTGCACTTGCTGCACTTGCTGCACTTGCTGCAACATCTGACGCATCACGTTGGTCTGATGCTCCAGGAACATCTTGAACTGGCTGGCATCCATTTTGATGAGGATTACCACCAATTTTCACTTATAAAGCAAAATGGCCGCTGAAACCAAGCGGCTCACCAAAACGATTGCTTTTCAACGAAATGTTAGATTTTTTCCGCGATTTAACTTCACCGTCACAGAAAAACCGATTTGAAGCTCGCGATAGCTTCTGACACCATGTTTTGGTGTTAATAAAACGCGTAACTAACTTTTTACTCATCTTTATTAACAACCATAATATTCACATTATAAACTACCGCGTTGACTGCGCACTCGTGAATCAATGGAAAATGAAACAATGACAAAGAGAGTGCACCAAGAGGTGTGAATGTGTAGGTAGATATTTGTGTACCGAAAGAGGGGGATAACAAATACTACAACATTAGTTTTTGACCCTTAGTGTAAACAAATTACATTTAGATATGATAATATATGACAAAATTTATAGAAAGAGGCTTACTCCAGCAGTAACCCTCGCATTAAATTCTTGACGAGGCTCGGTAGCTCAGTGGTTACCGTTTCTGCTTACTGAGCAAAAGGTCGGGAGTTCAATCCCAGGCCCGTCCCCTTCCTTGCAATTTTTCACTTTGCCTTATTCTATACCCACTAGATTTTAATGAAAACAAATTCTTCTCTAACACCGATCGCATCACTTACCACAGTGTTGGTCCTGATCTAAAAATAGAAATTGGATGAGTGCGCGCGCGCGTGTGTGTGTGTGTGTGTGTGTGTGTGTTTGTGTATTATAATCGCTCTACCAAAAACGATCCCTGCGTGTGCGTGCAACCTTTCCCCACATCCAACATCCCAGTGATTTCTCGTGGAAGCGCAGAGGATTTCTCGGTTTCCTTCACAACGAGTACCACGTCAACACATTCCTTTCCATTCCCTAGTTGACCTGCATTCGGACACGGCAGGCGCTGGTATTGCTAAATATTAGATCTCCAGTTCTTACACATTGAAGATGAATGTTAGTCCCAAACATCATCTGTTGGTTCTCTGTGTAATTGCAGCTGATCTGGTAATAACAGAGCAGCAACCGTGGGCGGTCAATCATGCTTTGCATGCATGCAGTAACCCTCGCATTAAATTCAAGTTTATTATATGATTTGCAAATAATGTTGCGATATATCGATGGCAGGCCTGCCCAAACAGATATCGATACACACATGAACAACAGAAGCTAGCAATTCAAAGCAATGACGTAATTTTTTCATACATTGACATAACTACATTCAAGAAACTCGGCAATGCTATTCTAAGGAATACTGCCATAGTAATAATAATAAAACATGAAGATATTATAAAAAACAACTTGTGGTCCGTCCCGTCCAGCGAAGATATGCATGCAGTTGCCTGACATCAAGTATATGCAGCTGCTCTCAAATTTTCGAGTTTTTGAAGCAAATCGATGCTCGTTTTAAGTCCTCGACTCGCGTCGGAGGCCACGCCTTCTATCTCCACATCTCGAGAAGGGATGTTACATCAGTATATGTTATACTGAACACTAAACAGCTCGTGTTCAGCAATTGTATTTGCTACTTCATATTTCGGTGCTTCTACACGCAGTTTGTTGAATCTCTCCTAATGTACCAAGATTCCCGGACGGTTACGTTATGTTGAGAGTTTTCAAAGGTTTATTTTTAGGCCGAAAAAAGACAACCCATATTCCTTTCAAAGACGGTCAAAGTATCTGGTTCGCGCAACGTTGGCATCCGCAGACGCCATAAGTATTGCGCAAAAGCGGTGCAAAACCGCTTAAAAAGGAAAAAAATAATAACTTAAAAAAACCTTCGCCAATTAATTTACTTAACCACTAGTTATTAATATTTTGTTACCCGGTGTACGAGGAACCAAAAATAAATAAAAAATAAACTTTTACCAGTTGCAACCACAGGACTGCATCGCCTGTCATTTGCGAACGACTCAAGTGAAGCCAAATTTTTCTGGTGCACTGGTGCTAATTTGACAGCTCCTACTTCTCATCTAAGATTAAGACTGGTACATATCGCACCGCGATGCAGAAAATAGAGAAAGTTTTCTAGATAACGTTATTGTTAAGCATGATTAACGCAAATTGTGCTCGTCAATTCCAAAGCAACTAAATGCATTTTTAACTGACATTTGTTGCCACCTTGCCGCATTTAAAGCTACATGATTGGAACTTAAATGTGTTTTGGAGTAGCAGCGCTGCTGATGATTTCGACAGCGTCAAGAGCTGAATCTCACTGCAGGGGGTTGGTTGCAAGGAGTTGCACCACTATAGCCCTTACAACCCTATCAGCGGAGAACGCCACGCGCAAAATTTTATAACAAAAGCTGCTTGCTGTTTTGGAGTGGTGATGACGGTGAGATGATACGGCAATGATGAACAGTCTACCTACACATAGCGTCGCTAAAGATGGCTACTTCCTCTGTTGACTGCGGTTGCCTGAACTGGGCTCTGAACGTCGCCCACGGTAGGGAATAAAAAAAAACCACTATGGTGAAAAAATAACTCCACCGGCTACGAAGCTAACACCCGCAACGGAGACCCGAACAAAGTTCGTCCTGCTACTTCAAGCTATCGACGAGGAATGCGTCTACGTAGTTTATGAACAGCCTCTAACAGTAACTTGCACAATCCCTTGCATTACCCAAGTAACCAACAAGCCCGCTAATTCGCCTTTTTGCAATATAAGGCTAATATAAAGCTTAGCATGCCCTACGTTAGCCATGTATCAGCCTTATATTGCAAAAAGGCAAATTAGCGGACTTGTTGGTTACTTGGCTAATAGTCTTCGAAACTCCTAGAAGTTGTCCCTGAGAATCGCAAAACAAAACTTATCCATTCAAATTCGAAACAAACAAAAAATAATGACCGACTCATTTGTAACCAAATTTTCAACCCCTTCCCCAACCGCAGGTTCCTCCACCAAAGTGATCGAACTCGACAGCTTCGAGGATGATTTCCTATTTGCAAACTACTCGTACGATAGTGCCAAAAAGCGAACCTACAACAAGTGATACATCTGCCTCTGCCTCTGCTACTTTACTCTACTATCTACAATTCAAGCATCAATTGAGAAATCGCAGCCGACTGTCCTCGCGTGCATGTTCATATTTGGCCACCGCCGTCATGATTTAGTTGCTCTTTCACGTATTTTTATTTCGGCTGATGACTGATTTCTTTGTTTTTGTGCTCAAAAAGAGGTAATTCTTTTATGTTTTACACGTTTATGGTTGTTGGTTGCACATATTGTTTCTTTTGTAAATACTTTAAATGCAAATTAACCAACCCTCTCGTTTTTTTGGGTGTTCTGTGCTAATGCTTACCTCTAATCTAGCATCATAAGGACTGGCAACGCTTCTTGCGGACCAAACCTAACCATACATTGCTTGTTTTTCCAGAGACTCCCCCGGTTCCCAGTATGAACGGCGCCACCAGCAACCGGCCTGGCGCTACAACCGCGAGAGTACTGAACCCGATGGCGATTGAGAGAGCGCGCAAAAATCCGCCACATCAAAGGGAATAATGTTAGTCGTTCGGATAATCGTTGTTGTTTGTGTGTTATTTAAGCCGTCGTCGAAAGAAAACACATGTTGTACACATTGATGAAAAATTTAGTTTAGTCCAACCTGCAGAAGAGAACGAAAGAAAATTAGCTCTATCACATAGTTTACAGAGAAGGAGAATCAAATAGAACAGTAACCAGTGTGTAGTAAGACCCGTTAGCAGCAGGATTGTCTGAGAGATTGTAAAAATATATAAATAATTGAAACATACAAACAGATGTCGAAATTTTTTAACATACACGTTTAAGTACGTAGTCATAGGATAAAGGTAATGATGGAGGGAGACAACAACTGTTTCCATCCTTTTATTTCAAGAAGACTTGTGTTTATAGGTTAATTAAAACTATTTGGTTCATTTGTTTGATTTTAGTCTAACGTTACTTTGCTCTTCAACTTCATTTCGAATTGTAAACTGTAATCAAACAATGGCAAATTATCCAACACGGTTACAAAAGTATAATGTAGTTGGTATAACAAAAAAAAAACTTCGAACGAAGTTAATGCGTAGCAATAAGAAAAGGAGTAAGTAAATAAAGGTCAAAAGCCATTTCTAATGAAATCAAAGCATACGCAAACGTGTTTAGTTGAAATCGCTTTTCGAAATAGTTGTCCCTGATGTTGAGAGTTTCGGTGAACTCCTTTTTAACTCCCTATGAAGATCCTGATACAACTCTGAACTTTGTGAATTTTCGGGAGTTTTCTACACTTATTCGTAGTTCACTTCTTTCGTTTTAGGCCACCTTGTTCAGGAGAACAACACGATTCACGATTAAAAGTTGGATCTAGACATGATGATGGTTTTAAAATAAATGTTGGCATATAGAACTAAAATTGGGCCTATCGCTATAAATCTGATATTTACCAATTTTCACCCCTATTCTGTATTTCGTTTCGAACGAAATTCTCATACAAAAAAATATTTTTTTGTATGAGAATTTCGTTCGAAACGAAATACAGAATAGGGGTGTTTATCTATGTAGATGAACGCATCATTGGGACGGTGCCAATTGAATATTTTTGGTTGCTATTGAAAATTTAGTCGATTACTGAATTTATATATGAGCCCAAATTAGGGGCATTTAGGCCGACATTACATCCATTTGCCCTAGTATCAGAACTATTTTAATGTATGGACTAGACGGATGAGCAAAAATGTGGTCTTCACAGATTGGGAATGCCAGCTTTTGATCTTCCACAAGCGTTTGACAGCTTTTCAAAACCTACTTCTTCACCCCCTCTCGATTGTCCAAAGCTTTCGTGAAAATATCTGCCAATTGTTCGTCTTGATTTGCACTCCCATGATCAGCAGGTCATCGACGTATATGACAAGGTAGACATCATCGTTTCCCCTCTCGTCGATCCGGGTATACAAGCAATAGTCATGCTGGCGATCTCTTGAATCCAAGCGTCAACAATATCTGATTCAACTTCTCGTTCCAGCAGTTGGGGGCCTGCTTGAGACCATATAACGACTTTTGCAGCTTGCAAACTGTTCCAGGATCCGCTTTGGTATGACTATGACCATGTAGATTCTTTCTATAGTCGCTATATTTATAGTCTGGCGGATAGAATCTCGGGAACCAATTGAGATGCCAAATAGCAGAACCAAGCGAGCAAATCACGACCAACAACTGAAAAGATCACATCAGCTATTGCGAACAAAACTTCGGAAACCCTTTTCTCGTGACTCAAGGCTCGCCTACGCAAACTAACACCATCTTTGGGTTGGGGAAAGTTTCCCCTAGAGAGGGTCTAGTATAAGAGAGGAGCGGATTCAAAACAAACTGCCTTGGTAACCTATGCCTAGTTGATTTCTAGAACACTGCCAATGCAATCAAGATAGGCGCTGCTCGATTGGCTCTGGCTTTGACAGTTCGTTTGGCTCAAAACCAGCTCCACTCTTATACTAGACCCTCTCCAGTTTCCCCTATCCGAAGATGCGGGTAATTTGTGTTCGATTGGCGTGGAAAGAATAATCCAACGTTTTGTTTATAAAAGTTGATAGTACCATAGAGGTAACTCTAAGACTAGAAGGTCCCAAAATAACGTGCTCAACTTTTTGGCTCAGCTCTGGTACTATCTTCGGTCCCAAGTTAATCGATTCACCCCTCGAAACATAGGAAAAACCAATAACCCCTCATTTTATCTGTCAAACTTTCATAGCTAATCAAAACAAACATTGCGTAGTACTAGAATTTCAACTAGAATGGGGTACGTTAATCGTTGCTTGGAACCAATAGGCTAGTCAAGTAGTGAGCCAATTTAAAATCGTTAGTTTCGTATTGATTGTTGATTCAGTCTGTTTAGTGCATAGGTTTCGTGATAATCGAGTCCAGGTTTCTAGAGAAACCCTTTCACGACCAACCTAGTCTTGTGTTTTACAATACATCCGTCAACATCTCCCTTAACGCAGCATATCCACTTTGCCACCACACCTGGTTACTTCCCTAATAAAAAAAAATCCATAACCCAGATGATCGAACTATTCCATAAATGGTTTGGATGATACCCCGAACACGTCGTTAAGCAAATTAACCATAACATTTTTATTAGGGTTATCATCGATTCCAGTTCATCATGGACAGCTGTCAGGCGGTGGTTCCGATCGTCACGTCCTTCGATCTCCTCTGGAAAATCAGAAATTCAAACAGCAGAGGTTGCTCGAAATCCGGTTAGAAATGGGAACCTGCGCTCCCGTTCGATGCGCCTAGTGGCAAGGTTGCAAAGACTCATTTCAGCTAAAACAATGTTTTTCTAAATTATGAAATAATTAGATGCCATGATCAAATTTTGAATTTGTAGGATACAAGAAGAGGTTGCAAAGAATGTGTTTGACATATTAAACCTGTTTATTTCACTTCATGAGAGTCACAATCAGCGATTTTTCACAAACTCACTCACTCACTCACTCACTCACTCACTCAGCGATCAGCAAATCGCTGATTGTGACTCATAGAAAGCAAAATTTACAGGTTTTATGTTTCCAACGCATACTTTGTAACCTCTTCTTGTAAGTTACAAGTAAAACATGCCATCACACCATCTTTTGGTTTTATTATTCCGAAAAACATTATTTTAGCTGAAATGAGTCTTTGCAACCTTGCCTAGTGGTTGACTTGTGACAGTCGTCACTTCAGGATTTACTTCCTCTTCCAATTCCTCGTAAGAAGCTTCATCATCAGACTTATCAACAGAACCTTCAACGCTCGGTAGATCTTCAACAGGGTTGTTTGATGCCTCCCCCGTGCAGTGTGGAGATCACCAAGGGAACTTAAGATGCTTCATCGAGTTGCTCTACATATGGAAAGGTTGGAGGCGAACCAGCCCCAGGCTGAAAGCCTCCCTAATAAAGATAAATAAATTAATTAATTACATATGGAAAACATTCTTCATTGAACTTCACATCTCTTACGACAACTATTTTTTCTTGCTTTTCTGTCCCAGGGCCGTATCGAATCATAACCGTCTCGCTGCTCTTGGGGTGCAACTTTTTCCTCTGCTGGCTGGGGGTTCATGCCATAGCGAGGGGCACGCAATACAAAGAACCGGTGCGTTGAAGTTAAAATGCAATCAAAAGTACTTAAGGTTCAATTTACTTTGATGTTTTTTCGAAAAATTCAAATGCAGTTTTTTTCGACGCATCATTTCAGATTGCAAAAAGCTCGCGTCATTTAGTGTATAATAGCAAAAAGTGTAGAATGACGCGAGCTTTTTGCAATCTGAAATGATGCGTCGAAAAAAACTGCATATGAATTTTTCGAAAAAACATCAAAGTAAATTCGCCATTTGCCGAGTTAAATTTAACTCGAGGTTAAAAGTGACATTTCGAAAGTTATTCTCTATGATCGAAAATCCCTGTGCTGTCGATCGACCGGTTTTCGAGAAGAACTCAGCCACGGTTGTCAACATTTAACTGTCAGAAATAACCACGCTCGGATAGCAGGGTTAAGGCCGGCGCACAATAGATACGTTTTCGGGTTTTTTGACAGTTAGCCCATGCATTATCTGTCAAAAAACCCGAAAACGTATCTATTGTGCGCCGGCCTTTAATCGGTAACTTTCCATCTGTCAAATTTTAACCAAAAGTTAAAATAATCCACCAAATGGTTCAGAGCCTAAATAACGTTTTCAAAGTGGCAGGGCTGATAGCGGGTCACTTTTTAGTGACTTTGTCACTTTTCCAAGGTGGTCACTAAAAAGTCCCTATTTTCGACAAAATGTCACTAAAGTCACTATTTTCGCCATTCCCGCTTGCATTGCAATGTAAAATTTGTTAAAAAATAAATAAAAATTGTAACAGTGCTACACTATGCTTAGATCTTAGTTGGAAGTTCATTAAACTAACTTACGAAAAAGTACGCCGAAGAAACCAAGACGATGCATCATCAAAGCACACTTTTATTTGAGATTTCGCACCTTGTAGGAGTCCAGATTCAACTGCAAAATTAAATAATCAGTGTGACCGAAAAATCGGGATAACTGGAAAATGCCGGAAATTCGATGACACCGGGATAAACTCGTGAACTTCGATGCCAAATAGAAAAAAAGGTGCTTCTTCCTCTCTTTAAAAAATCTCAAGACCCTTGGATACAGTTACTTCACAGACAAACAGACATAACTCTCGCAAGTTGTTCATCGAACAAGCATTTAACGGTCAATTTAAAAGTATCATAGTTGGTAGTACCGCCACCTGTGGCGCGCATAGTCAATGCCCTTGCGTTTGACGTTTGCACACTACCGCCATCTGTTCAGCGTACTACCCACCACAGTGTACTCAACAGATGGCGGTAATGTTTTAGCGACGATGTTTTACAGTGAGAAATATTCAATGTGTTATGTCTGTTTGTCTGTGGTTACTTTAAAGAACTATTAAAAGAACTTTTTTCCAAAGCAGTTTTGAACAGATTTTAGAATAGATTCTAGAGATATGTAATACCATGGTACTTCGGACAGTAATTTTTCAGGTGAAAATTTCATAGTTGTGAGTTGAATACCAAGGAAAGGAGCAAAATTCAACGGTAATTCCAACATATATTCAATTAGAATTTTAAGAATACTTCCAACGGATTTCTTAGAAAATCCTTAGAAAATTCTGAGCTAAATTTCAAGTGGATTTCGAAGAGTATTCTAAGGATATTTTGGTTTTATTTTTTTCAGATAATTCAAAGGAGAATCCCAGCAGCATTGTCATTGGCCACATCTTGCTGGACCTTATTAATGAATCATTATAAACTGGACATGTGCCACAATTTTGGAAGGAATCCAAGGTTTTTTATTCAAAAGTTTCAGTGGTCCCTATTCAAAAAGTTGCTGGAACGATTAAAGCCAAAGAGTTTCGTCCGATCAACATTTTTCACACAGTAAAGAAAGTTTTAGAACTTGTTGTTAAAGGCCAGCTGTTGGAGTATTTAAAAAGTAATAGTTTGTTGATATCAGAACAATCGGGATATCGGGAAGGTCATTCTTGTGAAACCGCGTTGAACTAGGTATTAGCGAAGTGGAAAAATAACTTGGAGTGTTAAGATACGATTGTTGCTGTTTTTTTTTATCTTAAACGCGCTTTTGAAAC